TACAAAAAATCTCCATGTACTTTTCCGGACCCAGAAAGCCAAACTGAGACATATTGAAAACCACCATTCTACCACTCAAAGTTTCAAGGTGACGAGCAACCACAGAATCACATAAAATAACTTCCCACGCATAAGTCTTAGAACACCATTAAACGGGTAACCACTAAGCTATCTTCTAACAAGAGTTGTACATAAATAAACACACTCATCTACCCTGAAACCGCTAATTAGGTGTTAAATCACTGAAAACGACTGAAATGTGTGGACCTTACTGTTTACTGTGATTTACACTTGTGAATAGACGCTGGTCGCGGTGAGGTTATGTTGTTGATAGATTAGCGATTTTAGATTAGCGCAAGTGCAACTGCCGGGCAAGAGGTCGCAGGTTCGATTCCCGGGTCGGGCAAAGTAAAACTAAGTTTTAAAAAAAATGTCAGTGGTAGCACGGAGTCTGGAATTATGCCTGGCATATGGTAATAGGCTCAGCCCCTATTACATGGGACTCATAATATAAAATAGTGAAAAGTGAGTCTTACATGGCACAGTGCCATTAAGTGCCATAATGTACACCTCCTCACCTTACGATGATGATTAGCGATTTTAAATATTAGTTAGAATAAAATTCACGTTTTTTATAAATATAAATTATATTTTTTACCATATTTTTAGTTGGACAATTATAGTTACAACTGGAAAAATGATGTAGATACTTTTAATGCAAATAATTTTTACGCGTTTACATATAACAGTTTCGCAGCACGTCTAAATTGAAATGAGTCCCTGAAATCAATGCCATAATAACCGTCTCAAAAATAATTACATAACTTAAAATTTAAATAATAAAAAATGTACATACCCAAATTTCCAATTCTTTTGACAATCAACAATCAATACCATAAATGAAATCTTATTACATTAAACACCATGGGGGTCACCGGTGATCGACGTTAGTAGATGATTTGCCTTCAACAGTTTTGTATTGGCAGTCAAAATCTTAAAATAAATTCTCATATCAACATCACTAAAAATCGCTGTCACCTCTCACAAACACCTAACCCTTAACAACACCGTCCCATCTCCCAGCGGTCGCGGTCGACTCGCCCAAATGGAATTGAAACTGTGACAATCCAGTTTGCACTCCCTACTTTTTCTTTACACCATCTACGATTTGATTGAGTTCGTCTCACTTTGTGCTGACATTCGCAGCGAATCTAACGGATCCAGCTTAGTTTGCGTTGAAAATCGATAGCGCAGATGGCGACACATGCGGTTTTGGGTTTGATATGTGTAATGTATATTACTATTGTACTGTTTCGGAGATCATTTTGTTTCTTTATTATTTATCGAACTATTAGAAGTGTAATGTGCGAAGTCTGAGAGTGGTCAGTAATTACTCAATATATTGATCAACTCGGGAACAAGGTATTTGAAATTAGCATGAGGTCTGATTCGCCAGTGGTGTAATTTGAAGCCATTTTGTTTACTTTTGGCCCTTCAACAAACGAATTATTAATTGTGACGTTTTTGTAAACTCGTACAAAAGTTTTAATAAATACGAAATAAACGAATTATTTTTTCAAAAATCTCTTTTATTTATACTACTGTCACCGATAATAGTGTTTACGCAGTCGACGTATAAGTCAGTTCCATACAACTTTCTACTTACATTGTCTTTAGGACATCAAACTACTGTATAGTAAAGATTAGTTAACTTTGTTAAATCTAGACTTATTGACAAGTGACAAATTAAAAAGTAAAGTGACAAAATTAGCTTATCCAAGTTTGTGTTCGAAGTGGTATAGTATATGTGGTAAACGTAATAGCTTAAGTTTTTACATAAATATATGTAATTCGATTAGATTTCAATTGCGATATCTGGTTCGATGTTGTATGCGTGCATGCTGTATTTTCTTTTGTCTAATACTAAAACAATCGAAAATCAGTCAGGCTTGACAGTCGTAATAGGAAACTATTTTTTTTATGGCATACGCCGGTAAACGGTCGGACTGATCACCTGATGGTAAGCAATCGGCGTCGCCCATGGGCACCTGGAACACCAGAGGCGTTACAAGTGCGTTACCGGCCTTTTGGGGAATTAGAAGTTTGAGGATCGTTGGGGATTCAGGAATTGGGGAAGGGGAGGGTAATTGGGTCTCCGGTAACATCACTCACACGACGAAACACAACGCGTTGTTTCACGTCGGTTTTCTGTGAGGCCGTGGTATCACTCCGGTCGAGGCAGCCCATTCGTGCCGAAGCATGGCTCTCCCACACTATTGAGTCAACGAAGCAGTACATAGTAAAAAACTATATAACTTTGCCAGTGCTTTCATCACAAAATTCCCTCGACATTTCAACAAACAAACAGCCAAAAATTATTTCAAAAGCATTCATTATTCCTCATTCACATTTTATCAGCAGAATAATAATTTTAGATAAAATCTTCGAGAGAACACAAAAAAATTGTCGTAAACATGATTTTTACCGTACAAAGGTAAGGAAAACAATTATAGCCGACATTGGGATCCGCTATTAAGTGCAGAACACAAACGTATCAGAGCCAGTAATGGCGTGCACTTCAAACACTGGGAACTCAAAGAAATCATTATTCCGCGCGCTTCCTACGCGACCACTCGGAAACTTAGGGATGGGGGAGTGTCGATAAATTATGAGCAATTTCGTTGTTTTCCAATGACCTACATTTTATTTAAGAATAGCTTGAATGCAAGTATCAAGGACGATATAGGAGATATTATCAAAGGATTAAAACATCTACCGCTTTTAGTGCGGTTTTATAAAAAATAACCTTTAGCTATGTCTATTGATTGTTTAGTTCAGTAATGAAAATCAAAGAGAACTTATACACTGTCACACTTTAAAGTCAGAAGTGTCAAAACGTCGAAATAAATCTTTCTCGTCATATAAGGCAGTCACTAAAATGTAAAGTTCAACAAGTTGCAGTAAAATCGAATAAAATTGATGAATACGTTCGACCACTATTGGAGATGGTCAAACCTATAAAAACAAAACCTAGGAATAATACCTAAGACTCAAACACATTGTATAGCGCAACTAGTCTTAAATTACGTGTATTCTAACAAATATCCCATGACAAAACAATCTAAGCACATTATCCAAAAACAAAAAAATATCGACACTATTTCATCGACAGTTCCAATCCCTACAGCAGGTACGCTCCGCCGCGGGGTAACGAAGCTAATCTGTACTCAAGTGTCGACAATTTGAGGCGTAACAACAGAAAATAAGCAAGACTTGAGCCATGTTCAACTTAATCCGCGGTTTACCCACAGATTCTATATAATGAACGCTGTTTATCGAGTCACTATACACAATACCCTTTTAATTTAAGTATTTCAAATAAATTCAACGTTTTCCTAATGATTATAAATTGTTTCGAGCTGAAATCTGAAACGGTTTTGTTGTTTCTGTTCTTAATTGTCGTCTGTGTTTGTTATTTTTGTCATTTGTTTAATGAGGTCGTGGTTACAATGTCGAAATGGTTCGATTACTTTTATTAGAAAGGCTACATATATAAAATTTAACTCGTCGAGTACCGGTTTTGTAGACACAATTATAGAACAATAGGTTGCGGTCACCGGTGACCGCTTGGTGTTTGACAGTTTAATGAATAACTGTTGATTTTAGATGTTTTATAACCAACACTTTCAGATCTTATTAGTATTACGTATAAACAATTAAAAGTCTTGTTGTAAATCACATCATCGCACAATCGTCAACCCGATCGTTCTAAAATATTTTATTTATAAGTTTACACCTGATCACCAAAGCAATACATTAGTATCAATAAATAATTGAATGGCACAACATAAGCACAAAAGGTAAAATAACGAACATATTCAAACAAAACACAAACTTCGAAACAAACAAAACACAACTACATACATCCATAATTATCAGAAAAAGATATGAATACAAAAAAGTGCTACCATTCCCTAATGCAAAATAAATATAAACTCGGGAAGCAAATAAATCATTCCCGGGACTAAAGCACTGCCGAACCCAGTGTGGTAAGCGACAATATTAAGCTACACGAAAAATATTTTTTACCCATAAATTAAGCGAGTTTTTCATATACCAGTTTCGCTAGTAGATCGCGAAATTAAACACATAAATTACGAAATGGTACAACTTGAGGTACATGTGTGCTTATATCCAATTTGGTATGCTTTGCCTTAATCAGCGGAGTTCACATTGAGTGATTCATATCATGGTTGCCTTTTTGTTTAATTAAATATCGTACTGACACACTTTTTATTCCCTGAAAATGATATTTAGGTACTTATTAGTTAGACACACGACCTTTTTATAAGTATAATATCAGAACCAAGCACATTTTTGAACATCAAAAATACCTTATAAGACCCTTTACCCAATTTGAGTTGATGGTTGCGCTTCCGATCACCTGGTTAGCAGATTAGATTAGGTAGTAATATTATCTATATATATATAACAATGAAGCCCTTTTTCCCTTAGTCACGGCACGCGTGAATGGCTGGACCGAATTCACTAATCTTTTTTGTTGTATTTGTTATTACTACGAGGTTCTTAAGACAGAAAAATCCTTAAAACCCTAAAGGAACGGGAGAAAACGGTATTGCGCTCACGAAGTCGCGGATACAAGCTAGTGGTTTATAAAAACGTGATACATTCATAACTTTGTTTAATAAACACTTTTTAAACATTGCCAAACTAATTTACAAATCGTATCCACAACGACATTCTATTTGTGATTCGTCGAATCGCAATCCCCTTCCTAAAACTTCTTATAAACCGTCACAAATTGTTTACAAGTCCACCATTTACGTAAACGCATTTCAGACTGAAGTCAAACATAACATTCTTTCGAAGAAATATTCAAGATTTGCCGATTGAAGAGTAAATAAACAAGGACTAAATACAATTACATCGGACTGCAGCTAGTCAGTTAACGTGCTTACAGTGACTAGTGATGACCTGAACACAAATGAGGGACAAAAAGGATAAAGCCATGTACAACACCTACCACATAAAAGACATGATGTTCGTGAGCAATTGTAAGAAGAATTTTCTGAAGATTACAGTATGTTGTGTGTTTGGAGTAGTGGGGTTAGTAGTCATGATTCTTCCACATGTGCTAATGTCCAGCCAAGTTGTCCACCACCGACGCCACACGAGGTACGCCACAGACTTAAAATACATACTCTTTTGGAGTCACAAAAAACATAAAAGTTCAATCCCAACACTCAGCAGACTAACAGAATTTCAGTCTGGACAGAGAACCTTTATTGACCAGAAATGTCGATATATAAATTGCTATATTACTTATAATAAGGACATATTAAAGAATGATGAAGATTTTGATGCCGTAGTCTTTGATTTGAACACTGTTGCTAAAATGGATGTAAATTTCCTCAACCTGACTCGGTCCCCAGACCAGCTGTACATATTCAGGTCATTAGAAACATCAGATAAGTATCCGCTGTGTGAGCATGATTTGGAACACTTCTTCAACTGGACCTGGACTTACAAGTTGACGTCCGATATACCGCAACCATTTTTATCCATCTATAATTCTGTGAATCGTACAATTATAGGTCCGACTATAAATATGCAATGGACGACTACAGTAAAAAAGACACGAAAATATGCAAATAAAATCAGACAGAAGAAGAGAGCAGTAGCATGGATTCTCACTAAATGTAAACTAAAATCAAGACATGAAGATTTTATAAGGGAGTTTAGATATGAATTGTCCGGATACAATTATACGTTGGACATTTACGGCCCCTGTAGTGCAAAGAAGTGTCCCGGGGGTAGTGCGTTAAAATGTTACAAAATGGTGGAGAAGGAATACTTCTTTCAAATTGTTGTAGAAGAATATTTGACAGAAGACTATGTAACTGAGGTGATGGTGGGCGCGATGTTACACCTGGCGATACCTATTGTTCTTGGACCAAGTGATTATTCGAAGTGAGTTCTATTTGTTATACTATACTTTATAACTGTTAGTTGTCGTAAAACCCTTACATTACTGTTTGTTAAATAAATTGCAGATAAAGCAAAATTTTGTGGTCATAGAGAAGTACAGAAATGCTAACAATTTCCAACAGTGCCAAAAACAATCTGGTTGTAATAAAATTATTTTTATTTCAGCTTCCTACCTCCTGGCTCCTACATAAATGCCCAATCGTTTAGCATGCCAAAACTTGGAGCTCTCGTCGACTACCTAATAAGAAATCCGGACATGTATGAATATTTCTTTGATTGGAAAAAGTACTACTATTACAAAGTTCGTCCAAGGTCACATGTATGTGATCTTTGCCAGAAACTAAACGAGTTTAATGGGACTTCGGTTACCAGACGTCATTTCCGACACTGGTGGGACCCAGACTATAAAGATGAATGCCAAAGATTGCGATTGTTCAAATTGTTCAATACTGAAACTTAACGTTAAATAGAAAAATAAGTTATTTTGTACAACCTAAAGGAGACTTTGTTTCAAGTTTGTATGTAAGAGAAGTTGGATAACATTAGGTTTTGTAATTTGAAAAAGTAAGCAACTTCACTGGTTGACAACATTCGTATTCAAGTTGATATTAAAGTGAGGGTATAAAAAAATAAAATAGGCGGTCATAATGTAACTTAGAAATGATTGAGGCACCAAAATTTCAGTGAGTTATTTATGTGTTTGTGTATAATGGGTCACCACGTTACCAGACTTAAGAATATAATAGATGTCCTTCGTGTCAATGTGTATGTTCTGCGTGTAGTAGCCAGGTGCGACAGTCGTTGTTTCAAGAGACTGTCGACCTTTTTTTCAACAACCTTGAATGGAATAATGCTTGATTAATGTGCAAAGAAGAAAGTCACCTGTGTACGTATATGTAATTAATTATAAGAGCAATAAATAAAATATTATGATTCTTACTACATACTTTTTAATTGCAGTTTCACTATTCTGGGTAGCAAACCGCGACTTCATCTTTACTCTAACTCAAAAATGGAATCAGACAATGCAATGAAATTGCCGTTAAAATTAAGAAAATACCACAACCAATATGTTTAAAAAAGTCAACCAATAGCTGAAGTATCAACTAAATATACCCAAAAAATACCATAGCAATTTCAATCTCCAACAAAGACTGATTTTTTTGCAGAAATCCTTTCAATTTTGCATTAAAAGAAGTGCCGATATCACTCCTTCGGGACACATCTGTGATCGACATCCTCTGACTGAGATTTATTATTGAATACTTTTTAGCCTCTAATATACAATGAGACGGCAGCCATCTATCTTCTTTACAATTCAATGTTTTGTATGTTTTATTTCCCTGTGATTGTATTGTTATGGTAAACGGCAGAATGCTGGATTCTTCTTTTGAGTGTCAATATTGATTTTAGTTTCAGTTCGCTGTGGTTCTTGTTTATTTGTGTGATTGAGTTGAAAGTGACTTCGGAGTCTAAAGTCCTTGTTTAAAAATAAAGTGTTTTCAGTTTAAAAATGTACCTAATTATTTTTTAAAATATTATTGCATAAAACGTAATATTACGCCTTTTATCCCCGAAGGGGTAGGCAGAGGTGCATATTACGGCACTTAATGCCACTGTAAACTATAGCACCCACTTTTCACTATTTAGGAATATTACGAGTCTCATGTAATAGGGGATGAGCTTATTGCCATATACCGGGCACAATTCCGGACTCCGTGCTACTACTGAGAATTTTTTTAAAAAGAAAGAAAAAAAGAAAATGTTTATTTTACACGCTAAGACAAGTGACACATACAGATTATTATGTCATACACTTAATGCCACAGTAAACTGTAGCACCCACTTTTTACTATTTAGAAATATTACGAGTCCCATGTAATAGGGGATGAGCCTATTGACATATACCGGGCACAATTCCAGAATCCGTGCTTCTACTGAGAATGTAAAAAAACCCAGTAGTACTTTGCCCGACCCGGGAATCGAACCCCAGACCCCTTGCCCGGCGGCACTCAAGCTTGCGATCACTCGGCCAACAAATATTATATAGTTTCGTGGTTTGACTTATTGCTACTATGGATGACATTGTTTTCACATAATTCGGATTGTATTCTCGTTACTAGAATTAATTTTGGTGAAAATACTTGGGAATTATTTTCAAAAATTGACGCATAGTGAATTATCACACACATTTATTTATAAAAGAAATAATACCCTGAACCATATCACGTAAATAATATGATTTCATCTCAATTTTAACATTACGAAGTTGATAATAAATTGCAGCGCGCGAGTCATCCATTATGACCACAAATAAATAGTACATTATAGTAGGGTTCCCATGTCATGTGTAATTAAGGAGATTGGACTGATGAGTTATTATACTGAGGATGAACATGAATGCAATCTTAATGTAAGGATTCTAATAATTATAGTTATTACTTTTTTGAGCATAAAATGACTTCTCCCGCATTGGGTGAGATAAGAGAGAGTGTCAGACTCTTACTGAACAAAAACCAACGAGCAGAAGACCACGGCAACCCGTTAGGTCTTTGCTGCTCCGTATCGGCATCAGCCAGCCCTACTGGGCCCCAAATGTGGTGGTCTAATATTGCTCTTTGAGGCGAATACTAATGTAATGTACTAATTCGTACGTCGTTCCTCATCAGAGTCAATGTTGAATAAAGGCTTCTAACACTGATCATAAACCCATCATTTGTATCAAATGGCGACCCTTAATTATAAGTATCAATAATTAAATGATTTACACCTAATAATATTACTATAATACAACAATAACACAAAACAAAAAAACATACACACATGAAATACAACAATAAGCCAAATTAAGTAAAATCACGGGTTACTCACGTGAATATACCGAGAAAAGCTCTACTAGTTTCGAACCACAGAGGGGTTCTTCCTCATGAGCAGCGTGCGCGGTCGCGGCGACGTCGCGCAGCTCTGTGGTTCGAAACTAGTAGAGCTTTTCTCAGTATATTCACGTGAGTACCCCGAGTTTTTACTTAATTTAGTATGTCTCACGATAGTTATTATAAAAACATAACAATAAGCCATATTGCATAGAATAAATATATTATTTTTGTAAGATTTACAATACACATTTTATCTTCGAAATAAAATCCTGGTTACCCTCGCGGCGTAATATCGGTAGCGGCAACTTTGTGCCCAATCGGTCGCTTGGGATGCAATCAGTTATTTAACGCGATCCACAGTTCCAGCTCACTATGTGAATGTTTGACGCATGACGCTAAGGGAGACCTTTGTCATTGCTGTCAAAGATTATTTCCTTGAAATCACCCCCTTAAGGACATTTGAAGGGTAGAAAGCGGTAATGTAAACAAATATTTCATATTTATTTATAGGTTTTTGGTGACAATGTCATTCCCAGTAGAGAAAGAGTGGGAAAGAGATTTCCGAATTTCAGTGTCTGATTTCTTTTCACCGGCGGTAAACGAACAGACGGATCACCTGATGGTAAACAATCGGCGCCGCCCATGGACACCCGAAATACCGTTACTAGTGCGTTACCGGGCTTTTGGGAATTGGGAATTAGATGATTGTTTGGGATTATACCTTTTAAAATCGTAATTTCATTAATTTTCTTACCTTTCCGTCATAAAAGTCCTGAACTAATAAAAACCTAATAAAGTAGTCAAAAAATATGTATGTATTTGTAGAAAAAAAGTCACAGAATAACATCTTTTAATAAAACTAAGAGTCTTATTTATATAAATTCAGAACTTAAATTAAGACATATTCTATGTTACTAGTTTACCAAATCACTTCAGGAACTCAGTTAAATAGACAGTAATGCTCAAAGTTTATTCGAAACTGTGGACACAGGTGTTTATTCGTATGCGAACAACGCATTGCTAATAGAACTAGCTAACTGTTTCAGTACACTACTATTGTTCTAGTATTTAGCACGAAAATGTATAATTTCTGAATAAAATTAAGTCATACTAGCTATAATAAATTAGTAGGTACTAAATACATACAATGCTTTTATAGTGCACGTCATGCACTTACTGGGAACTGGCTTGAACATCGGTGTATTTACAATTTTCTGGATAGAGTTGCAAGAACCTCAAGACTTCTATAATAATTTTTAACTACCCACAGTTTTCAAGTCGGCAACTCAAATTCTATTTTTTTTTTATGGCATAAGCCGGTAAACGAGCAGACGGATCACCTGATGGTAAGCAATCGGCATCGCCCATGGACACCCGGAACACTAAAGGCGTTACAAGTGCGTTACCGGCCTTTTGGGGATTAGGAGTTTGAGGATTCAGGAATAGGGGAGATTGGGGAAGGGGAGGGTAATTGGGCCTCCAGTAACCTCACTCACACGACGAAACACAACACAAGCGTTGCTTCACGTCGGTTTTCTGTGAGGCCGTGGTATCACAACGGTTGAGCCGGTCCATTCGTGCCGAAACATGGCTCTCCCACACGTATAACGTCTTACATGTATTAACATCACTCCTTTAGTAAGTCAGATACCCCCCTCACTATATTGTACTATATAAAACCAACAGATGGCACGGAGCGCGCTGTCTATCTGTAATACTTTGGTGTACATACACGTCGTCTTCTCTGTACATAATGTAATTTAAATAAAGTCAAGTAAAACTAATTCGAGTCTAAATCATTAATCCACTAATACAGCATAACTAACTACCAACTGATCACCTGATGATAAGTAATAAGCGATGCCCATGGACACCAATAATACCAGAGAAATGATCAGTGCGTTGTCGGCCTTATGAAGCTGAATTGATCCTCCGGTATCAATCATGGTTTCACGCTGTATTATCAGTCCGGTCGTGCCGGACTAAAAATTGTAACCTCATCCTTCGATTCCTTGGTAGGGGATAACACAGGACCCAGGTGCATGTTAGTTAGTTAACACCTACTGGTCGATATACCGGGTCTCATCGCTAGCCCACTGCGATTCAATTACACAATGTGCTTAGCTGTTCATTGCTAATCGCTTTCAAAATAGACACAGGCTGATTAATGGGTAGCAAGTGCATATTTCGGGGTAACCTTGTCATTGAGTGACTGATTTGGTGATGAAGTGCAACAGTAGAAGGAAACAGGATGATTATGATGCTGATTATGTCACCTGAACGCTTATTACTATATAACATTCATCATTAATAGCCAATAAGTGGCCACTGCTGACCAAAGGCCTCTTCTCATACGGAGAAGGTTTAAGCATTAACCACCACGATTGCTCAATGCGGGTTGGTGATTTAAAACTTACAATCAGAAATAATAAGCCCAGGTTTCCTCACGATGTTTTTCTTCACCGTTTGTAAGTGGTGCCTAGATAATTTTAGAAAGTACATATATGTACTTTCCATACCAAAATGATTTTTTGCCGTTGGTAGGTTTAGGACCCGCACTCTCATGCATGAGAAGCGAGCGTCA